ATACGGAAACCACATATTTTACAGTTTCAATCGCATAAATGTAGGGTTAAATCTCGTATAAGGATGGCAAAGTCGACTTTGACTTTTGACCAAAATTAACTATTATTTTTAATTTATTTGCAGTGGCGTGAAATGTGAGAAGTGTGGTGGAGAAATGAATTTTAATGACAGCCAAACAACATTGTCAAATCATTTAAGAGCGGCGCATAAAATTATTATACAATATATTAATCGTTTGTCTTCAAAATCTTCAGTTAGTAGAGATGTAAGATATACATAGGTATTTGTTTTAATAATTTCATGCAAGAAAGTTTTTTTCCATGAGTTACCGTAAGGTAAAAAATTTTAAACATCGATCAAAATGTTGCTGATAGAATTCAAGTTAATAACAGACGTTAGTCGTGGGGATACTCCCAACCCACTAGGGGTCTGGGCTACTTTAAATGGAGAATATCCCATGTTTATAAAGTGGCACTTACATTTCTACCTATACTCGCCACCTCTGTTCCATCGAAAAGGCAATATTTTCAAGAAGTTGTCCGTAATTACCAAATATCGATTCAAGAAATTTTTAGAATTTTTTTTTTGCGAAATTTTAAAAATTTTTAAATTATTTTTCAAAAATAACAATTTTTAAAAACCTCATAACCAACATTTTCATGGAACAAGTTTCAACATTTTTTAAAATCCTTTAGTGTCTGTTTGTTTTTTTACCTAGCATTGAATTTCATTAAATTACAGATTATTCTAAAGACCACTAGTAAAGGCAATATTGGAAGGGCAATATTTTCAAGAAGTTGTTCGTAATTATCAAATATCGATTCAAGAAATTTTTAGATTTTTTTTGGTGAATATTTAAAAAATTTGAAATCTTTTTTTCAAAAGTAAAAGTTTTTAAAAACCCTCACAATCAACATTTTCATGGAACAAGTTTCAAAATTTTTAAAAATCCTTTAGTGTCTGTTTGGTATTTTGCCTAGCATTGAATTTCACTAAACTACAGATTATCGTAAAGACCCCTAGTAAATCATGACATTTTCGCCGTATTCTGACCCTTATATTAATAGCTAATATACGAGTTAAACGCGGAGTATACTTAATACATTTTTTTTATTAAAAAGTCTAAAAAAAGTTGACTTTTCTTCCTCGAGCTTTCGACTCTTAAAGTCGACTGTAAAGAGTCGATCGAAAAGTCCAAAGTCGACTTTCTAGTAAAGTCGAACAACCCTAATCTCGTAAAAAAACTTTCAAACTGGATTCCAGGAACATTCTGTTTTTTTAACTTCCTTCTAATGGCCAAAAAAAAGCCCGCCAATTTAAAATACAAATAATCCTATAGTTTCATGTTTATTTATGGAAATTTATTGAATGTAAAAGATAATAATTTTTATGAATATTGCTTATAAGGCCTCATTAATTGTGCAATGCGAAAGACTAAAAGGACCTGAATAAACCTCATCAGTATGACTTTAGAAAATGTCGATTTGAAAGCGGACTCGGCAGCAAGAATTCAACATTCTATACTTCTAATCTGTAGCACATTTACCTATTGTGAAAGCCTGCAATGAGTACCGGTTGTAGGCACTTTCCCCTAACCGTGGTTATACCAAAGTCTATCTAAGGTGGCTGTTAAACCAGTTTCTGCCCCAGATGATTTCACCTCCGTTATCTTTGCCCCCGCTAGTGAAAAATCCCAAATGCTTAAATCACCTTTTCTGGAGGGCCAGACATTGATATATATGGACGATGAAACGATTCATCCTGGTTTTCACTGGCTAATTTAAAGACATGTAGCAGCAGTTCTATGAAAATCCTTTACTGAGTCCTTTTTTGATGAAGACCACGGCAAATGTATAAAAGACTACGTTTTGAGGTTGTGCACATAGTATGTTGGGACCCTTAAAGGGATAAATGCCTCTGCCCAGCTGGTTGATGTCCTGGGGAAGACTAAGGCTGGCATCACCGCCATGCAAGATATGCCATATCATCATACAGCGGGCCCGAAAGAACAACTGGTGCGATGAGGAATGTCACGAAGTTGCAGAGAAAAAAGATGCCGCCTAAAGGGTCGCGCTGCAAACAGGAGCTGGATAAGTGGGACCGATAGAGGAGGGATAGAGAAGAAGAGCTCCTATTCAGTATCAGAACTATCCAACAATAATTACAAAAGTAGCGTACCCGACGAACTTCGTAACGCCCAAAATTATTATTATTTTTTTTTTTTTGGTTGATACGACACTTTTACCAAGTATTTATATACATATACGTATATTGGTACATTTATCTGCTCTGTTTATGGTTTTCTGGTCGGCAGAGGGCATATTTTCCATTATAATTTTAAATAACCTAACGAAAGCGTTGTGCCCGTGACGAATTATTTGCAATTTTCTAATGATCTACGAATTAAATTTGAATAACTTTCTTCATTCACTGTCTGGGACAATGACCTGGTTCGATAGTGAATCTGTATAGCATACACTCTAAAAAATCTGTTTAAAAATGCGATTATAAATCGAGTATATTTTTGTTTATTTTTAAATTTTTTTGGTAAATTTACACGATGAATATGTATTTTTCTCGTTTACACATTTTCGTGTGTAAAAACACTTTTTGTTAGTCACTTTACACAATTCTAAGGGTGAAATCAAACATCAGATGTGTATCTTGTAGCTTGTACACACTTTCTTAGTAAATTTACGCACACCACAGCAGCTATATTACGCTCTAAAAAGTCCGAAATTTAAACAAACTATTCGTTGAATAATCGAGCATGTAATTTCGCGAATAATAAGGTAGGAAATCAGTAACCTACCTTTTAGGTAGGAAATCTACACAATTTTTTTTAGAGTGTAGTTGGTGGTAAGTTCATAATAGGTAAGTATCGTTGGTCCACATAAATCTATTACACATAAACTTATTTGAGTTGAAGTCCTTTAGCTGTCTAACCATTGCATTTGTAGGAATGTATCAACAATTGTCCTTATTGTTGTAATTCGAGATGGAGTAATTTGTAAGTTTGCAAATCACATCCTTTCTCAGCTTTATCATTAATTTCTTTATTCCGCCCGTAGTAATTATATGGAAACGAAAAGTGAAGAAAGGTCCGGTTCGAGGAAAATAAAACT